TGAATAAAAGACAACAAATATTTCAATTAAGATCATCTAAAAATATTTATTATTATTTAAATAACATTTTATTTTATTAAATGACATAAAAATTATGTATTTAATAGCTTACATTATTATTTTGTTAAAATATTTGAAAGAAATCAATTGGTAAATAAGAGTAAGCAACTATTTTTTTTTATTTAACTTGTAAGCCAAATACTAAAATGGAAACTATTACTTTAAATTTATTGCATCATAGCATATATAAGAGACTTTTGGTTTAATGAACTTTGGATTTAATGGAAAAAATTTCTGTCCCAGATATCACCTATAAATTCCCATTGTCGTCCGTCTGTCTGTTCTTTAATCTCGAGAACAAAGTTAGATAAACAAAAGACGAGACCAGATATGGAAACCTTAAGTGCAGGAGGTCTTGATTAACTATATACAGTACAAACTTTTGATGTCAGAAGTCATGTTATTTCAATTAAAAATTTTCCCCTGAAAGGTGTTAGATGACTGGCATGACTCTATTGTTAAAGAAAAAGTGTGATGTACAAGGGCAAGCCACTACTAATTTGGCATGGAGAGCATATATTTTAAATTTATTTAATTTAAATTTGCAAAAATTGCAAAAAAAAAAAAAAAAGGAAACGAGCATTTATTTATTGTGACAATGTCACAATAAATAAATGCTCATTTCCTTTGGGTAACAACAACTGAATTTGTACTGGTGTAATACTGCTTCACCATAAACATATTCTGTACAGTGCTGTACACTACTTACAGGATAAATAAATTTCCACATCTTCCTATATCAGGAAAATATTGCAGATTTTTCAAAAAACATGATCCTTCATCTTCAAAAGAAAAGAAATGATAACATGTTTAAAAAATCACTCTGCTTAAATCATACCTCTTGTATAAATTTCATGTTGTGTGATTTAAATTCTGATTTAACATCAGTTTTATGGAAAATTATAGTCATGAGAAGATTAAAGCATATTTGTGTTCTCGTCAAAGAATAAGCATATAATAAATGACAAAAAATAATTTATTAAAAATCATCTTTGAATTTTATTTAGTTTTTAAAACTTTTCTTCTTTTGTAAAGAAACTTTACAATAAGTTACTTTTATAAAATCTTATACAAAAGAAAATCTTTGCATATAAACATTAATCACTTAAAGGTTTACATAAACTTTTATAAAAATATTGAAACTTAAGAACCTGAATATTTAATAAAATAATATAACCAATTATGCTTTCAACATTACAAATAAGCTTTGTGTCATTTATTTTCTACACACACTTTTCTTTCCTGTTTGTGCTTTTATTTTAAAGTTTTTACTCTTGCATGATCAATTGTAAACCTTTATATATTCTTTATATTTAGTAATATAAGTTTTAAATTTCCTATTATTACAGAACATTAGTAATTATCCTCATCTATCAGAATCCTTCTGATAGTTTCTTTAAAATACAGATAAGTTATACTTGTAAAGATATAACAACAATAATATACTTATAACATGAAATAGATGTATTTTCAAAACTTTCAGTTTGTTTGTAATTCTAGCATAAAAGGCATTTGTTTTGGATTGTACAAAATCTGTCTTTTGTACACACAAAAAACAAATGTCTGTAATTTAGAACTTTCTTTGAAAATGCTTAGAAAATTTCACTAAATCCTCATTTAGGATGGTCAATCCTCAATGAGGATTAGACTAATCTGGATGGATTTATAAACAAATCATATATATGCTAGAACAGTAAAATTCACATTTTTATATCAATTAATTACTGACATAAAAATGTATCAAATAATACTTTTTACATGCTTTTAAAAGTTTTTAAGTAGCAAGAGAGAATTTTTAATTTATAGTTATTTAGTATTTACTTATGTTGTATATTTTCCATTTTGTTTCATTTATGTTCAGTTTTGTTAGATCTCGGCATTTTCAACTAGAACCACATATAGGGTACGTTCGTTAAGTCGAACGAGTTAAACGCGTTAGTAACGAATCGTTCGAAAAGTAGTAGTCTCGCTCAGTGCGCATGCTCTGCGGTGATGACGTTTCGAACGAAACTCTAACGAAGTTCACGAAGGAAAGAGTTGGTTTACTTCGTTAAGAAAATGGCGCCCGACGATATCGATGTTTCTAAATCTACTCGAGTGTTTAAATTGTGAATTAAAAGATGAAATGATTGGAGTAACTGTCCACCCGAAGCAATCTAAGAAAAATATTTCGGATAAGGCTGTACTAGCAACATTTGTATCTTCGATTTTAGAAACAGCCATTTAGTTCTAAACGAATCGTTCGAAAAGTCTAACGAAATAAGAATAACGATGACGTCATTCTCGTTTAANCTAACTCTTCTAAAAATATTGATATTTTACAACTTTGCTTTTATTTTAGCTATTTTTTTTTCTTTTCACTTTTTTTTCACTCAGTGGGCACTAAGGGAACTTTTCAATCATGCCAATCATGTATTCAACCAGGCACATAATGGAGATATTCTAGTGGCAAGACAGGGCTCAACACATCCAGGTAAATCATTCATGAAAAATCTCTGAGATTCTCCACCCAGATTCAATCCTGAGCCCTGGATAATGCTGTGCAGTGTCTTTACAGTGATCTTTTTTAGATATTTTTGTTAAGTATGACTTATTCATTCTATAATCAATCACTGCCAACTCTTAACTAACTATCATCAAATAAGCCTGCTCTATTTCAAAATATTTAAACACCTCATTTACATAATGCACTTTTGGAGCTATGCTCCATTTTCAAAATTTATAGTCCTTAAAATTACAACATTTCCTTTAAACTCTCCATTATCATCAGTTCCAAAGTTGAACATCCAAACAAAACAAAAAATGCAATTAGGATCTGAACACATTTCAAAAATCTTGTATTCCTAGCACACAATTCATAATTCAACATAGAGCATTTATCTGCTAGGAACATGGATAAAACAGATTATCATGGGATGTTTATATATGTTGATGATATCAGTGTCTCAGAAATCACTCAATGGCTAACACAGGGAAAAAAACCACCTGCCAGCAGAACTGGGTGCTTTACATCATGCCTACAGGAGGGGAAGCAAGCCCATACTAACCACTGCACCAGACCTACAGCCTTCTTTCACTTTGTTCCAGCTACCATCACAATGACTGAAGATAACCAGTAGCTGATCAGCCACCAAACACACTAAATGCAATGAGTCTGGCACCGCACAATGCTCCAACCAACAGCATATACCTGACTCCAAATTGACAAGTCAGGAGAACCAGCAATCAGCAACACCCAAGAAGCAATGGACTATCTCTCATAAAGCAACATCACACCACCAAAGGAAATCATGAACTTCTCTTTACAAGTAACATCAAACACAATCCCTGCAATCCCTAGAAATCAGCAAAACATTACTAAATCATTGACCCTCAGACTCATCCAATGGAAAGTGAGATGAGTTGACATGAACAAGGCCTAATTAATCAGTTCTGCTCTCATACAAACAGCAGACATTCTAATAATATATGAGATTTGGCTTCACCCAACACAGGACTTTCACTTCCCAGAATGCACAATCTCCCAACATGACAAGAAATACCAAACAAGCAGTGTCATCTTAATAGCAGCCAAAAACCACTATGCAATGTAGCATGTTACCATCTAAATGCCAACAGCAGCTGTAGCCTAATATCCTCCATGATCAACAAAACATGGGGACTCTGATTAATGTCTATGTCTTTCATGGAGAACTCACCACCAAATATTTAAAAAATTTGGAGCCCTTGCTGCCATCCATTTTTATCATATCTGATGATTTCAATGCCCATCACCCTTTATGAGATTTAAGCAAGATAAAGCCAAACATAGCCAGTAAAGCTCTAGAGAACTGGTACTGAAAATCAAAGAGCTTACTGATAATGATGAAACAACATACTTTTTGGGTTAGCCAAGGGTCAGCACTGGATGTATTTCTTTGTTCTGCAAATATACCAAATAAGATGACATGGAAAGTGACAGAAGACACTCTAGGCAGCAATCACTCTTCATTCTGATAATAATATCAACTCAACATACTACTATTCATAGACTACCTGTTGAGAAAAACCATATACCAATTGGAAATGTATAGCAGAATTTATCCAATGGAAAAACAAGACTACTATAAGCATTACAATGACTTAGCAAGATTGCTCTATACAGCAGTGGGCAAATTCACTAGTCGTTTACTAGTAGCCCTACAAAACCTATGCCATCATGGTTGGTTGGATGACCAGTGCAAGAAACTCTATACACTAAAACTAAGGGCACTCTGCAAAACCAAACAGCAGGCAAACCAGCTAGAATGGGACAAATAACAATGGCTTGAAGCCTCCCTGCATTGCATATTACTTAAGGTAAACTTTTTACTGTTCTTAATTTGGACTTTTGCAAAGTTAATTTCTTTCAGGTATGCTTCTATTCAGTCTACAGTCCATTTTATTCAAATAGACTTCAGACTGAAGATTAGTATTAGTATTTGCTGATGTAAATGAATGAAAAGCACATAGTATAATGATAGAACACTGAAAACTGAAGAACTAGATTAGTACAATTTTCATTTTACCTATGAATCTTTGTCATATGCTAGGAGAAGAGCTGTTAAAAATACATTAAATATTTATATTTAATCATCATCATTAAATATTACAAATTATAATTATTAAAATATTACATTATTAAATAACTAATATTACTGATTTGTTCAAATATATAAATTATACTAAAATTATATTCAAGTGTAAAAATTTATTATTAATTAATAAAAATTGAATATATATATATATATATTCAATTGTTTTTATATGACAAGAAATTTTGTTATTGAACTGCCAATAGTTGTCTGCATTTTCTAAAATCTAGCAACCTCATTCTTGGCATATATTCTAAACTTTTGATATTAAAAAAATGGTTTTCTATAAATAGAAATAATAGGTTTCTTACAACATTCTAATTTTTCTTTCATTTAAATTTATCTCAAATTGGCCTTGATGTTATATGGCCTTAAGTTTCTAGGTCATTGGTGTTAACTTAATCTGTGACTGGAAAAGCCAATAATATAAAATTCAAATATATGAATTAAAACTAGTTTAATACCACAGTTGGTACTTCTTTAACAAATCACAGATCTAAAACATACGAGTTTTCACTAGTTTCCACTCTTCAGGTGAGTCATTAAAAATATAAGATTAAAGAACTCTTCTAAAAATATTGATATTTTACAACTTTGCTTTTATTTTAGCTATTTTTTTTTCCTTTCAACTTTTTTTCACTCAGTGGGCACTAAGGGAACTTTTCAATCATGCCAATCATGTATTCAACCAGGCACATAATGGAGATATTCTAGTGGCAAGACAGGGCTCAACACATCCAGGTAAATCATTCATGAAAAATCTCTGAGATTTTCCACCCAGATTCAATCCTGAGCCCTGGATAATGCTGTGCAGTGTCTTTACAGTGATCTTTTTTAGATATTTTTGTTAAGTATGACTTATTCATTCTATAATCAATCACTGCCAACTCTTAACTAACTATCATCAAATAAGCCTGCTCTATTTCAAAATATTTAAACACCTCATTTACATAATGCACTTTTGGAGCTATGCTCCATTTTCAGAATTTATAGTCCTTAAAATTACAACATTTTCTTTAAACTCTCCATTATCATCAGTTCCAAAGTTGAACATCCAAACAAAACAAAATGCAATTAGGATCTGAACACATTTCAAAAATCTTGTATTCCTAGCACACCATTCATAATTCAATATAGAGCATTTATCTGCTAGGAACACGGATAAAACAGATTATCATTTTTGAATTATTATTGTCTACTAGATTTCCTTATAATAATGACTTATTAAACTGGTATAATCTACCAAACACAAAGAAGAATCATCAGTCAAAAGGTTAAAACAAATTTTCACCTGTTTCACCTAAACACATCTTGCATCAGATAAGTTTCTTTAAAATCCAGAGCTCTAAAAAATGATAAAAACATTATTATAGTATAATTTATTATAAAGAAAATACTGATCTATTTATATTCCAAACATCTAACAATTAAACTTTTTAAGTTAATATGGTAAGCAATTGATGTAAATTAAAAATATTGAATACAATTAAATTAAAAAAAGTAAATTAAAAAAAGAAACATTTAAACCACTTCTACTATAACTTATATTTAAAAAAATATGTAATATTGAAGGAATCAGTTTTGGAGTTGTTATAAATTTAAATGAATTTTTCTTTTTATTAATTTTTTTTTTTTATAATGACTTACAGGAATCAAGTGGATATCTTTTTTGCAAGACAAAAACAATTGACAAAAACTAATCAAGTTGAGTTTTGAAAAGCTTTAAATTTATTTTAATTTTATCAAAACTATATAAATGATGTTATGAAATTATACGTACAAAAAAAGAACAAATGCTTATGACAACTTATTTGCCTAAATATCATAATAAAGAAATGTAAAATAGCATTTATATTATAGCTAGTTTTCACAACTGAAAGACAAACTGTATATAGGAGACTTAGACTAAGACATAAAAATTTAATCTGTGTAACTGGAATCTGATGATGGAAATTAATATCCCAAATAACATTTAATTTAATGATCTGTTGGACTCCTTGAAAATTTGTTTTTAGTGTCAATGATCTTCAGTTTAGATTATGAAGTTGAATATCACAAAAGAAGTTTCATTCTTCATAAAGATAAATAAATAAAATTCTTAAATTTAAGTAATGTTAATCAGTTTTTAAGTTGAAGTAACAATTTAAAAACTGATTAACATTATTTAGATATTTTATAATGGCATTAGTGGATTTTTGCATGAGCATACTCTTATCCTTATATATCAATATACAGTATATCCATGCACCACAGAAAGCTATGGTTTATCATTAAATATTCTAAATTAAACTAAAATTTTCAAATATTTACAGTCAATACAGAATCTATAATTTTTAAATCAAAATCTACAAAATATAAACAGGATGTTTAGTTATTAACTAAAATATCATTCAACTTCACTTTTTTAAAATGAGATGGAATAGAGTGAAAATTGGAATGTGATAGCATTAACCATTTTTAAGTGTCCTTTAATTCAGTCATGGAATTCTGGCAACACCTTCAATATGTCATATACATTTCTTGATAAAATTAAAATTATTTCAAACAGAATAAATAATGAAAACTTTGTACGGTACTATATTATTCAAAGTATATGTAAGAATCAGCAGAAAGTTACAAACTGACAAGAATGAAACTAAGAAATAATAAATATAAATGAATCTTTTTAAACTAATACAATTAAATAATGAAATAAACTCAAATTTCTTAATTAACAAACTTAAAATTCTACTTTATTAGACTTTCAATGTAAATTTGTAAACTTGAATAAAGCAGATTTTAATGTATATGATAATGTATATTGCAGATGTATGATTAAAGTTTTTTCACATACAGTTAAGATGACAATCTAAAAAAATGATGATAAATAATTAAAATATTAATTGATGAAATCATAGGAAATAGTTAATATAAATTTAAAGTGATCTGAAAAACCATCCTGTAATCAATTACTAATTAAAAAATATAAATAAAAATATCCTGCTCATCAACTTATTGAGAACTGTAACAATAAAAATCCATAAAATGCAAAACATTACAACTTTTTTGTTTGTAATGTACTTTGAGAAATTTGTAGCTCTTTTGCTATGAAATGTCTTGGTTTTTCTGATTTCCAGCTACTTGTCAACAATTGCTTTTTGACAGTTTATTTCATTCATTGTTTAAACAATATCACAGTTACTTTAATAAAACTGATAACGGAATTCTTATTTTAATTATTTGAAATTGTTGCTATGGCAACAAACAGAATTATAAATAATAAACAAAATTTAATGTCTTTTCAATTTTACAGATTTCTATCATTATAGTCCTTAACTGGTTGATGTATTAACAAATACTACTCAATGTATAAATAAATCTGAATGGATAAAATATCTTATTCAAATAAAGAAAACCCAAATAAATAGCAATGCTTTTAAACTAGACAGGAACTAAATCCATATTTTCAGTAATATGCAAGTGTTCTAACGTGTTTACTATATCAATTGTATTAACTCTTATAAAGCATTTTCATTGATATGTTTTCTTTTTTTAATATTCATATTTGTGTTATTTTTTTATATGATACTAATAAATATGGCATGTTAGATGGATATTTATATACTGGATATTCATAAATATATGGCTAAAATTGAATGTTTCCGAGATAAAATTAAAGATATAATAAGTCTGTCCTATTAGTTTTGAACATTTTTGTTTTTGGGCAACTCAGCCATTGCCTAGGGATGGCAGATTTAGAAGAGTGGCAAAATCAAAAATTTTTATATATATATATAACTACAAATGTGATACGATCATTTTTATATGAACTTCAATTTATAGAAATGTTATATTTATCAGATAATGGGCAACAAATAAATATGTATTCATTTATAGTTATGTCTACATTTCTTCTCTTTTAAAGAATTGAAAAGCAGAGCTGCACCATCCTTAAGAATAAGTTGTGATCTAATGACCCAACCATATCTTCCTCTGGTACACTTTGACATAAAAATATATAGATCCATATTCCTTTTTGTTTATAACATTACTATATCAATTTAAAATATAAAAGAAATCAAGTAGTCTCATTCTTTTGTCTTGTCCAACCACCAGTAAAAAATAGTCTTTCCTTGTAGAGACAATCCTTTTATTGAGATACATCTCTTCAAAATTATGTAAAACAGTTTTAAAAATTCACTGATGATAAGCCAAAACATTTTAAAATATATGTATAATTACAAATTAAAATTTAAAATATGGAAGAAACCAAGTTGTATTCACTCTTCCATCTTGTTCAATCACCAGCATAAAAAGATCATCTCTGCAAGGAAGGACTATTTTTTTGCTGGTGATTGGACAAGAAGGAAGAGTGAAGACGACATGGCTTCTTCCATATTTTAAATTGTGAAATATACTGTCTGCCATTTTAATTTGTAGCTACTATATCAAATTTAAAATAAAGGCAATACAATTGATGCAATAAATACAGTTGAATCTGTCTATCTCAAACATATTTATATAATAATTAATTTTTTTCCCTGCATTTTCAACCTAAATTCAATATATTTTCCATGTTTTATCTCAAATAATTTTCTCCCAAAACCCATCTATCTCAAATTATAGACTTAAGTGTCAATTACAAATTCAAAGCTCAACAAATACATTTTGATGGCATAAATTGTAGTTGAGAAACATCTCTTGCAATATAGTACATATTTGTAATTAATGTTGCTTTTCTCTAATTGGCTATGAGTTTGGTTTGCATCTAATTGGCTTAAAAAATCAGGTATCAGAAACTATTGACAAACTGTTTCTGCTAAGGCATGTCAAAAATATCTTATATATACCTAATATAGGTATGGACTGTTCTTGCTATTGTATTTTATTAATACAGTGTTTATATCTCCAATCAAACCTGTTATTGCTTACTGTGTAAGAACCTCAAGTCCATATCAAATTTTTTTCTTGTTCTTGTGAGTGAGATTCAAGAGTGAAAGGTTGAACTGTATTTGTTTTAAAATGTATAAAGGTGTTTTTTAAAGCATTATTTAATTTCGATTGGGATGACAAAGTAGCATTTACCTAAAGGCAGTACACATCCATAGAGTTATCTATAAATTATGTCTGCATTTTTCTTGAAATTTTTCCTCTCCTTCTTCCTCTTGTCCCAGCTTGTCTAAGTTGTCATAATCCTCCCCTCTTTGGATGCCCAAGAAAACGTGACTCATGCTTAAAACTTTTATCACTTTATGAATGATAAATACCATAAGTAGAAATGAAACATACAAAAAAATTTTGAAATAAATATTATAAAATGCATAAACTGTTTAAAATTTAACAAAATAAATGGATGTCCACTGAAGCTCAACCAGTCCCCCTCCCTCTTATCCGACTCATCTTAACCCCCTCCCCTTCCAGTGTGGATGTCACTTATGGACAGTCTTGGTTTCAACTGTATTAACTCCTCCATCATTTTCACAGGAACTTTATTTATGTAGTGTTTTCTCTTTTACAAGAAAAGATAAAATGAAAAAGAAAATGTAAATCAATTAAACAAATCTGTAGTATAAAATCAAATCTAGCTTTCTAGCTTTATGTAAAGAATTAATTGCAGTTTATCAATTTAAATGCTGTATACATATATAAACAGAATATATAAAATAAATATTACAGATCTAAGACACAAGCAAGATAACATTATCTGCTGGTATTAAAAATTTTAATAGCAGAGAGAATTTATTTTTTGTATTTTATCATGTTTTTCCAAGCAAATCTATTCCATCTGTTTGAAAAGACTGATTAATTTGATGGATGGAAGAAATGAATAATGAACTATATTATTATTCTTAAACTCTATATGAATCTAATATACAGTATATATGTCACAATTTATCTACATTTATATTGTCACAGATGGTAGGAACACATTAACTCCTGAATATATTTCAAGTTAAATAAAATTGAAGTCTAATAAAGGTTTATTAATCCTAATAAAACAAATGGGAGATTATTTAATAAACTTTTTTTATTTCCTTATATTGTATACTTATATAAAAAAAAATCTTAAATTTAATGAAAACTATCTTAATTGTAAACATTTTCTAATTATCAAATTATTTTAATACTACTCAATGTATAAAATATCTTATTCAAATAAAGAAAACCCAAATAAATAGCAATGCTTTTAAACTAGACAGGAACTAAATCCATATTTTCAGTAATATGCAAGTGTTCTAACGTGTTTACTATATCAATTGTATTAACTCTTATAAAGCATTTTCATTGATATGTTTTCTTTTTTTAATATTCATATTTGTGTTATTTTTTTATATGATACTAATAAATATGGCATGTTAGATGGAT